AAGCAGATTTATACATGATACATTCTTAAAACACTATCTGGCAGAGGTGTAACAGTGATGCACATCGTTAAAGAAGAGAACAAGATGGAAAGAGTGCTATGGCATCTATGTGCCTCATAAAATGATTGATTAAACCCTTTCTTAAGCTAGTGTAGTATTAGGTGACAAGTAGTTTAACTACAATAGCGGGATTCAACTACTGCCTATCCAGTTCTATTTTAACTGTGAACTTTACAATGATTCAAGCTAACCGTGTCATTTTTCAAGCAGATCCAAAATCAAATCTTCATATAGAAAAAGAAAGAATCATGAGATTGCAGCCCTAAATGGCTGCCAGGTTTTATGAGACTCTGTCTCTGGGTCCATAAACACTGAGATTGCAGCGTGGAAAGGACCCAGGCTGCTCATGCCGGCTGAGCAGGCTTCAAGCCAACCAGGCTCACAGAGAGAGAGAAACCAGACCTTTCCAGATCTCAGCTCCTCTGCACAGTAACTCAGCAAAATGGACACAAGCCTCTCTATGGACTCTGCAAGTGCGAATTTAACTGCACTTAAGAAAACAGTACAAGCCGCAGCTACGTCACTTGCCAGCTCATCAAGCCAGTTCTAGAGGTGAAGCAGGTTTATGTCTACCCACTGTCAAGCAGCAGGCTCATAAAGAAACAATAACAGAGATGCCAGAGTCACGGATGTTTTAATGGAAGTGAAGCCATCACAATGGTGGGAAGGGGAGGAACTGTCTCTACCAACCCATGTACAGAAGTCCTGAGCAGTTGGCCATGGTGTGCTAGGTGAATTACTCACTATTCAGGACAAAAGGGAAGCTAATGAGAAGAAAAATATTTATACGTATGGAGCAAACCAGGGGCCAAGAAAGAAAATTTATTTAAATGAAGTCCTATGCCTTTTTAAAATTTTGCCTTTTGGGACCAGCCAGATAGCTCACCAGACTAAAGTGCTTACTTAGGCAGGAGCAAGGACCGGAATTCAATCCCCGGCATGCTGTGCCAGCCCTGCCCCCAGGGCATGCTGAGACACGATTGAGACTGGGAGTGGTGGCATGGCTCTGTAATCCCAGCATTTGGGAGGCTGAAAACAGGAGGATCACTACAAGTTGGATTTATGCAGTGAGACCTGTAGACCCTGTACTAAATACATTTAAAAGAGACCAGAAATTTTTTTTTTTTTTTTTTTTTCGTTTTAAACATCCTCAATACTCTATCACTGCTTTCTTTTCTTTTTCTCTCCAGGAGCTCACTAACCCTCTGGAAGTTTAGAGGACACAGAATTATTGCCTGTTCTGAAGCTGCTAAGAAATTATACAATGTGGGCCGGGGAGATGGCTCAGTAGAATAAGTGCTTCCCTGGCAAGCGCAAGGGCCTGAGTTCAATCCCCAGTTCCGAAAAAAAAAAAAAAAAAAAAAAAAAAAAAAAAAAAACCCCCCCCCCCAAAAAAAAAAAAAAAAAAAAAAAAAAAAAAAAGAAATTATACAATGGTAAGTAGAAGAAGCCTGTCATGACAGGCCATATTACATGATTGCATCTATATGCTGCATCTTTATAGTTGTTCCATCAGGCAGTCCATTCAGGTTTTCATTTTTACTATTATTAATTCAAGTTTGGGCATTTCTGTTGAGTTATCATCCAACTCAACAATTCTTTCCTGAGCAATGTCTAGTCTGTTAATGAGCCCATCAAAATGTTCTTCGCTTCTGTCACAGTGTTTTTTGGGTTTGTTTTTTTTTTTATCTCATACTTATTTTTGTTTCTTTTTAAAGTTGCCCTTCTGTTATTCCATACTCTATTCTTATCCATTAGGACCCTCACCCTATTGATCCCCAATCTGAGAGTCCCAACATCTGGGTCTAGTGTTGAGTTTGCTCTAACTCTTCAAACTGTTTTCTGACTTTCAGAATGCCTTATAATACTTCCTTTATAACTTAATTTGCTCTATGGACAGCCAAGACTTTCTGGACCAAAGGAAGTGCTATAAGTTATGTGTTGAGTGATGTGGTGGTAAGAAGGGTGTGTTCTCAGGTCCTGTGATAAAGTGGAGTTGTTGTGGTGCGCCTGTGTCCAGCACTGGGAGCGACCAAGTACACAGCTCGCCTCCCATCCCCTTAGCTGGTACAGGATTTATGGAGTGCTTCTCACCTTCAGTTCCATTAGGCTCTTATAATATAGCAGCAATTGAGACTACAGCAAAGCAATTTCTCCTCAGAGCAATTTCTTCTCCTAGTGGAAAGAACAAAATGCCATTGTCAGGTGGGATAATCCTTACCTGTGCCTCCTTTTGGAGGGCAGATAGAAAATGATGATTGGAACATAGGATGACACGTGCTGCATAGTCAGGACTTGCAACACCCTGATTGCTCCTGTCTGATTCTTCCTGAAAAAAAAAATGCTCTGTTACTTCTAAACAGTTTCTTTCTTCCTCATGCTGGAAGGAAAAAGAGATTTTTCTCCATCGTTTACTGGTTGAGCACTCTGAGTTAAAACACAAAAATATTCCCTCACACCAAGCTTTTTCTGGACTTCTCTCTCAAAATTGTCCACAATGAACCAGCAGTAATTTGTTGGTTAAAGCTCAGGCTTTCCTTCCTCTGCAGTTCCCCATGGAAGCTTTTTCTCCTCAGTTTCTCTGCTCTAGTAAATTGTGATTTTCTGTATCTCCTTCTCTATCTCCAATTTCAGGACAGTAGTTTGCCTGGGATCCCATTTCTCTGATGGACTTACAAGGAATTGTTCATTTTTTTTTAACTTCATTCAGCTTTTTACTTAATGGAAAAGTAAACACTTGCAGATCTGTATGTATCTACTTGGAAGCTAGAACTGTGGTTGCACCTCTATGAGATTCCAGACAGGGAAATCCATTAAGGCAGAGAGCAAATTAGTGGATGTTTCAGATCAGGAGAAGGTGGACTCGAGGGATGAGCCCTCAGGGAGACACAGGGTTTCTTTTTGTGGTGGTGAAATGATGTTCAAATCAATTTGATGATGGTGGTACAACTCTGGACATATACTAAAAAACGCTGGATTTCACACTTTAATCAATAAATTGTATGTTCATTATAAAGCTAAAGAAAAATGGAAAAGAGGGAGAAAAGGAAGGCAACGGAGAGAGAAAAAAGAGAAAGGGAGAAAGGTAGGAGGGAAAAGGGATGAAAGGGGGCCGGCCAAATAGCTCAGTGGATTAAAGTGTCTGCAAGCAGTTACAGGGGCCAGGAGTTCAATTCCCAGGCCTGCTGGGCCGGCCCTGCCCCTGGGGTGTGCTGAGACAGCAATTGAGACTGGGCAGGCTGTAAATAAGCAGATCACTACAAGTCCAATCTAGTAGTGAGAATCTGAGCACCCTGTAGACCCTTCCCTAAAACACAAAAAGAAGAAAGAAAGAAAGAAGAAGAAAGAAAGAAAGAAAGAAAGAAAGAAAGAAAGAAAGAAAGAAAGAAAGAAAGAAGAGGATGAAAGGGATGAGAAAGAGAGGAAGGAGTTTCCTCCATCTGCAGAGGGCTTAACAACTGAGTACGGTGTTTATACTGTGCAATAGCACATTTCCTACAATGCTCTGCAGCCTATGTACATGTGCGTGTCTTCTCCAAGAAGACCTCAAACTAATGAGGAACAATTTTGTTCTTTTAGACTGACAAAATCCAGAACAGTAGCTGAGCTGTCACATAGATGGCATCTAGCAAATACTACCTACACCAAATAAAGAGTAGGGAGCCATCGCACTTTCATGACCAAAGTCATGAGAAGCTAATCAGAAATCACTCCTACACCCCATTTCTGGTAGTTCCACAAGGAAAGTATCTGAATGCCCAAGTTTCTAACCCAAGTAGGAATATAGTTTCAATGGGCTGCCTGCTCAGAAAGTGCCTTCCTGTCCAGAGAGATCCGCAGGTCACTCCTACGCTCTGGTGGGATCCTCAGTATAACTGGGAGGACAGTGTGGCAGGCAAAGAGAGGGGAGCTGAAAACCTCAACCGATATGCAGGGGTGTCTTGGATCATAAGCAGCACAAGAAAGCACCAGTTTACAGAACATATCCTGTAGTTGCTAAATTCAACAACTGCTTACCCAGAATTCCACTTAAAGTGAAATGAGTGCTTACGTTCAGTCTAGGAATTCTTGTACATTGACCAAAGACATGGTCAACCTGGACAATGACCAGAAAGGATAAGAAAGGTGTCCTCGGCTCAGCCTGAGAGAAGAGCTTAAAAGTTAGCATACCAGAGTCCAGGTGTGGCGGCGCACAACTGTAATACCAGCACGGAGGCGGCTGAAAAACAGGACGATTACTATGAGTCTGAGCTTTGTAGTGAGACCTCTAACAAATACAAAAAATGCTAATAAAAAGGAAGTTAGCATACCAGATTCTTTATCAAGACAGACACTAAGATATTTTATATTTATAGGTTTTTATGAATTAATGCTGAAGACAATGGCTAGAATTCCTGAATGTGTCTTCAGTTATTCTCAGTAAGAAATGTTATTGGTCTCATACAGTTCTAATTAAGGATCTCCTTGAAGACCTGATTATAGTTGATAGCTAGATGATAGACACTAGATAGATGAGAGAGAGAGAGAGAGAGAGAGAGAGAGAGAGAGAGAGAGAGAGAGAGATCCTGTTAACCCTTTCCTGTAACTATTAGGGGTTTTACCCAGAGAATGGTAGTATCTTCTAAAGAAAAGACACCCTAGACTTTTGGCATTCACAAACTACCCTATTTTAAGCCACTAAAGTGACACATATGCAAGCCATGATACACATATCTGATGCAAATTGAAAATCAGCACAAACTCACCAATCAAATGGAAACAAAACTTTAAAAGTCAATACAATTCCAGTTGATGTGAGAAATTGATCCCTTCAGTGCTGCTATTTTTGTTTAAATGGATTGCAACATGCATATAATGCTAGCAACGTTGCCATATTGGCAGTTTTGAGTGTGATTTGCCCACCCTGATACCCCTTGTGGTGGAGGGCTCAAATCTCCCACCTCTTTCCTCGACTTACCTTGGCGCTGTACCTCCATACATGCTAAGCTTCTGGGTGTCATTTGCCCTTCACTAGAGGCACATGATAAAAAAAAGTGCTAAAATTTACCAGTACACTAGCAATACATTGATCATGTAGTTGCTATTAAATTAGCTTTATGATTTAAGATATACTTATATTATAGGCTTTAGGACACTGAAATTATGCAACCTGCATAAAGATCCTCAATCTCAGTTTGAGAAACATTCTGTTAGATCATCCACCCACTCTGGCAAAAATCTCTATCTGTCCATGAACTCACAAAATCTCTGTGACCAAGGAGAGACAGGCCCACTCTCAGTCTCCAGAAACCCTGAGGAGGCAGAAGCTTCTGGGCTGTGTCAGCATTTACAACATAACGATAGATCCTTTCACAATGAGTTTTCCTCCATAAGTTGAAGTGGGAGGGAGAAATTCCCAGGAAGGCAAAGGTCAGAGAACAACCCCACTCCTTCCTCAGCAAAGCCTCCCCAGGGCAGCTGCTCTGTCTAGCTTGAAGTCACCTCCCCTGACCCTGCTGAGGTTGACCACACATGACTGTGTCCCCGGGAAGCCTAAGATACCAGTTCATAAACCTCTGTTAATCAGTGAATTGTTTTTACAACAGGCTTTTTTGTTCTTGCTGTTTTTCATTTTTTAATTGTGGTGAAATACTTATAATCTAAAACTGGCCATCTTAATCATTTTAAGTGTGCAGTTCAGTAGTGTTTAGCATGTTTACATTGTTGTGAAATTAGCCTCCAGAACATTTCCAACTTGGCAAATCTGAACTCTATACCAATTAAACACTAGCTGTCCTCCCTCCTTGCCAGTCTTCGGCAGCTGCTCCTCTACTTTCTGTGTTTATGAGTTTCATTATTCCAAGTACCACGCAGTATTTTTACTTTTGTGAACCAATTATTTCATGTAACATAATGTCTTTCACAGCTCATCCATATCGTAATAGGTGCCAGAATTACCTTCCTTTATTTTTAAAGGCCAAATAACATTCCATGATATCCTATCTAGGCCAAACTTTATCCATTCATGTGTTGGTGAACTTTGGGGTTCTTCCCATTTTTTTTTTTTTTTTTTTTTTTTGGTTTTCAGAATAAAATTTCTATGAACATGGGTGTATTTTATTTCATGTTTTACTGAATTGGTTGGGTCTTTGGGCTCCACTGTCACAGTGCACGTCTGTGGCATGGTGCAAAGGATGAAACAAAGGATTACTAGGAGTCGGTGTCCAGTCTGGACCTGAGAATGCTGCTCTTACCTGAGACCCCTCAGCATGAGAACATCTAATATGGACAGCCTCAAGCTGAAGCCTCAGTGGGTGTTTATTGATAGAACCAGGCAACAAAGATGAAAGAAAAGTACAGGAGGACTAGGGAGATAGCTCAGAGGCTTAAGTCCCTGCCTGGCAAGTGTAAGGTCATGAGTTTGATTCCTGGTTCAAAAAAAAGAAAAGAAAAGTGAAGGGTATCTGGGGAGGAAACCATGCAGGGGACAGGGGACTAGCATAGGAGCTCAGGTGGTCTGTTCAGTGACTGACCTTGGGCCCCATCTAAGTGATAAATCAAAATATGAAGAGGACAAAGGCCAGAGCACCCAGTTGTTATCGCCATGTATCAGAGCCCACTTGGACTTGTGGCCAGGCAGGCTGTCTCTTCCTCTCTAACCATGCATTCCAGGAGGTTCGGGACACATGGCTCCAGAAGTCCCTTACCTCCGCATATCCATGTCATGCATATCTCTAGCCAGTGCGCCCACCTTCCACGTATGAGCTTCTGAATTTTTTAGATTTCCCAATCTCCATTTTAGCCTGAAAAACTTGCCTCCTAGATTTGATACTTTGTGTCCAGTGTATAATTTCATATGCTTTTTACCTTGGGCGTGGAAGTCAAATAGCAATGGGCTAACTCTAGAGCATCCTCAGGAACCTATAAACCTATAAATAATGTTTGATTTGACTGCAGGCAGAAAGAGCTAAGCAGGTCCTACAAGGCCAGTCTTGGCTGGCAGCTCTGAGGCTTCGTCCTGACCTGCTCTTGGAAGGACCCTGTCCCGAAGCTGCTGAAAGCTCTTCCGTCACCAGCCCACCTTCTAGGGATTCCGCAAATGCTAAGGTGGACACTGTCTCTTGTAAGTGATGAAAGAAGCCCAAAGTTAGCTGAAATTTTAAGCAGAGGCTGTCGGGCCATCCTGAGGACTGTTTGTGAGTGACACACTGAAATGCGCTGTGTTTTAGGGAGGATCATCCAGTGTTGCTGCCTGGATGAATGTGCACACACATGCAGGTAGGACCTCTCGCCTGCTGACCTGTGGAAATCCATCCTCTCAAACTCGAGGGCTACGTAGAAGGTC